GATGTTCCCACCAGGAACTGGAACACAAGTGGGTGGGCCCAGGGCAGCCCAGAAATTCTAAATGAATTTTTGTAGTTATATTGTAAGGTTTTTGTGTCATTAATGTTTAGACTTTTTTAAGTTAGCTTTTTTATTATTAAAGGCCATTCACAACATATACATTGGAGCCTGTATTCAGTGCCCAAAGAATATAATTCTTAAAACATAATACTGTATGCTTCAAGCTGGGGCCAAGTGTCAATAAGGTAATTGTAAGAGATAAGAGAATTTATTGCTCATCAAATGGATTTAAGTACTACTTAATTTCCTGTGAAAAATATATATACATTGATATCACCTAAATTATCAGAAAATAATGAAGTATGTGCTTGCTAAATTAATTATTTTCAAGTACCAGCAATTACATGAATAATTCATTGTAACATCGGGTAGATTGTTTAAAAATCATCAGGTTGGTATTAGAAAACTGCACATGATAATGCAACAAATGACATACAGTAGTCATGTGTTTTCCAAATGTTGTTGCACTATACTGACATGTGACTCAGCCCTCCAGTTTAGACATACAGTAATTAGCATATTCAATCAAGGATCCAATTATATTCATGCTTCTTTACAAATTACAATAAGCAGGTTGGCTATACATTATCAGCTATTTATTTATGTGTGTTTTGGTCTGTAGTGGATGTGGTCTCCATCAGTGCACCTATGTGTGCCAGATTTCATTTTTTGATGACTTGAGCAATCAATACTTTCATTTTGCAATGAAAGTTATCCAAATGCAAATTATTGCACTAGCACTACTATAATTACTTGCTGAGTGCACAGCATTTTTTTTTTTTTTTAGTTTACATAAATTTGTTTTTTAAGTACAGATTTATTGTTATCTTCTCTTATTGTTATAATTTAGTTAAATGATAGATATTAAATTGATTTCAAATCGGAGAATCTTGGTTGAAAGACCGTAAACACTGCTATTAGTCAATTAAGCCTTACTTATGTGTTCTCCAGTCCCCATAAAAGTATAATATAACATGTAAAAGACCCATTTATTAGACTGGTTTGTGTTTTGGACACCCAGCTCTGAGAATGATTAATAGTTTTGTTTTGCTTTTATTAACTTTGTTCCCACGTAAATTTTGAATCACTGCTACAAGTTTAGATTTAAACATCCAGAGGCCAACTGGTTTATATAGGGTCATAACAATTGGATAGCTTACGATTATTCCATACGTATTGATATATTTATAGACAATTGTTATATCGCGATAAATTCATTAGTTTGTTTATTATTAAAGCATTCTCAGAGGAGGTCAGGATATGGTTTGAACTACTGTACAAAATTGAGAAAGATATAGAAAGATATAGAAAATAATTAATTTGTTTCTTCAAACGAAGAATCGCAGGTTCAAATATTCAACCTTTGTTTTGCTCTTAGTGTTTTAACAATAAATATAGTCCCAGATAAAATAAATTTTAAATAAAAAAAATCCAAGTTGATGGACCATGTGTGTTTCAGACCCCATAAAAGTATAATATTACATACAGTATGTAATTGAAAGACCCATTCATTAGACTGGTTTGTGTTTGAACAGCTGAGTTCTGAGAATGACTAGTAGAAAAAGGACCATTACTGAACTACTGCTGTAAAACCTAGAAATAGAAAGCTCTATAGGCCTAATCTCGAGAAAGAGTCCATCTCGAATTGAAGCACATTTCTCCTCTTTAGTTTGCCCATAGTCTTTTTTTCAAGATAGCATGGGCTTGTATTCAAGGCTACTTTAATAAGTCATAATTAAAAAATGATTCTCTTGGTTTTTTTTTAACAGGATTTCATTGTTGAAAAATGTTTACAGTGGCCCTATTTTTTTATAGGTAACTAGTAATTCCCAAAATTTATAGCATTCATTTTCAAAATAAGCCTCCCTATTTACTTTGCAAAACTAGTTAATCTCAAAAAGAAGCCCATCTTCAAAAGAAGTTCACCCAAATGTCGCCAAAAAAAGAAGCCCATGGCTTCTATTCAAGGTTTTAATGTACGAGACCAAGTTTTTATGCAGGAGTTTAAACACATGAACAAGCAGTCAGACACTGTTGTATACTGTAAAAACCTTTCCCATTCCTATACTTTCAAGAATTTCTCTCTGAAAGGCTGGTTATAGCAGTTTCTTTTGGAAGAAATCTTCAAATGTATAGTTGATGTGTATTTGCCTAGGCTGTGTGCCTTTATATCCAATAGAAAAAAAATGAAAGGGTCTCCAGAGGCCTGTTGTCCACATTTACAAGGAGCAATGAAAGTTGCGGTCTTTACGAAAGACCAATTAAAGACCACTTTTGGGACTGGGGTTTCCATGGTGTTAGCAGCTTTGGTCTCTAATTAGAATTATAAAAATAAAAGAAATTTGTTAATTTGGGACCACAGAAAAGTGGTCTATAATTGGAGGGAGTTCAGTTGAATTAAATAAAAAAGTTATTTTAATATGACATATTTAATGTTTTTCTTTCAGGATGAAAGCATTAAATCCCTAAGGAATGACAACCACAAGAAAAGTTTTGCGGATCCTTTGAGCATAGCAACATCATTATCTGTTTCTATCTGCTCGTCGCCATCTCCAACAAGAATTTTACCAAAAGTATGTTTAATTGATCCAGATTCCATCCTTCAAAAATATTTTAGATAATATTTATTAGATATATTACTTATTCTTATTCTTTATTGGCAATCAAGACAGCTAGATGGGAGGGCCAGGTCTAGTAAACTTAATTACAAAATGTCAGAGAACCACTCCCATCCAGTAATTACAAATATATATTATTAAAATTCAATATAAAACACACAAATATACATCACGCAAAAAGTACAGAAAAATAAAATCAGTAAAATTAAAAAGAGGAGCAACAAGGAAAACATAATTTGTAATTACTAAATATTTTATATAACTATTGCAATTGCAGTTTATTAAAATCACAAATAGCAGTGACACAACTGAATTGTTTGTGATGGCATTTGTTATTTTACTCTGAAATTTTTAGAGGCCATCTGAGGACCTCTGAAAGTTCAACTAGCAAAGTTTTAATCCAGATTCACATAAGATACATTCTTAATATTAAGTTTCGTCCTGTAAGCATCTGCACAGCTCGTAGCTAAATATCTCAGCCCCCACCCCCCAAATTTTACGAAATTATAAATAAAATGGAAAAAAGAGAAAAATTTTAATTAAATTGAGGTATGTGAGTGCCATTTCCAGCCATCTAGAGGTGCCATAAATCAATTATGGTGGGCCTGAGGTATTATAGACTCTCCATCTTGAATGTCCTTTGGTCCCCCTATTTTGAATTCCTGGATCCACTACTGGGCAGGCTTAGCTAGGCATGCACCATTAGGCAAAACACTTCACAGTTAGGGTGAGTTATTAAGTATCATGGGTTTTTGGGTTATTTTCTAGTGTAACATTCAGAAATATTGTTTCTGGTGCTAGACGTTTCTTTTAGCTATGAGTATGACTGCAACAAGCCTTAAATAATAATTTCTAGTTCAACTACAGCAGGCCGCCTACGAAACAGTATCCACTGTGCATCGTGAAAATTTTTCTTAATATTATGTTCAACTCGACTGTTCAAAACAATATCATAGCGAGTACCTCATACAGATCATGTGACTGATCAAATGCAAAAGGTGGATTAGTTTCAACTTGAAACATAATCCTGAATACTGTTAGTGGTCTATTCTATGTACAGTATATTAATAATTTGTTGTATTCTGTTATGTAAAGATGGAAACATTATTACTAGCTTTGTAATTAATACAGAACAATAATTAATATACAGTTCCATGGTAACTCATTAATACCCGACATAATTTTCAAGTATGCATGCAAGGCTGACGTTCTCCATTGACAATTGATTTTGCTTGGATTATTTACCTATGTACAATTCTTATCTATTTATACACACACACACACACACACACGCGCCTTTTCATCTGCTAAAATTTACCAACAGTGATGGAGTGACGTTCTCTCTAAATACTGTTGCTGTGGGGAAACAACATTATCCACCTGCTGCTATTAAACAAATATCATGCATAAACAGGCTAATTAACTTGTAAAAATTCAGAACCTTTTGTTGATTGCCCATAGATCACACTTTATACAGCATGTATTAAAACATTTGCATCGTAATGAAAAGCTATAATATTGAAAACAAACAACTTAATTTAAAAATTGGTGTATGAATTTAAATTAATATATACCATGGATTTTAAAGGTCCATTGTTACCAAATTTTACAACCAATTTTAACATGAATTTGTAAATGAAATTGTGTAATAGACATGCAAACCAAACATTAGCAGTAGCTGTATGCTATTTTTGAATGTTGTTTCAGACTGATTAAGATGCATTCACATGTTTGGTCATCTTGTAAACATTTGGATCACACTTGTATTCAGGAAATGTTAAAAGCGCACAATTAAAATACACTTTCATTGTAATATAGCAGCTATAATATACTTAAAAAGAAAAAGCCTTACAAAGAAGCTTTGTAAGGCCCCATATGTTCTGTAATACAGATATAATAAGAGCTTATAAGAGCAGAATATCAAAAAGTGCATGTCATTTGGGTCTATACCCGTAGTGTTTTAACGCTAATTTAACATACGAAAAACGGCTTATAATCACAAATATCTTGAGAATGCGTAAACGTAGAAATCTGGTTCACTCAGATTATGAAAGATGGATTTGTGTTACACAATAATATGTTATTTATATTTGACATAGTGAAAAAAGTCCATGTCACTTCTGAGTTTAACATTTTTGCTAAAAATACAAAAAATGTAAATTGTGGGAAATTGCACTTTTGATAGCAAAGTTGGAAATGCAAACAATGATACCATCGCCACCTGTCGGCTGATTCAAACAGTTTTAAACAGGTCAAAATAAAAGCTAACCACTGATATAACATATAATACTATTGGTTGAAAAAAGTCCATGTCATTTTTGATAAATACAAAAACCATCTAATCAGAAAGAACCTTTCATAAAATACAAAGGGAATATGACGTCACATCATACAATTAGTCACCGATGCGAAATTTTGACACCGTTGGCATGGTGCGCATCCTGCAGAGATGTAAGTATTTTATGCATTTTAAAAATACGAAATTTCAAATAACCAATAATACAATGTGACCATATAGTACGATTGTATCATGCATTTAACAAATAAATATAATTTTTAAATAAACAGTTCATATTGTGTTTTTGACTTTTCATATAGCAATGCTTTTCTCCATCGATGCAACATCGTAGCACAGGCATGTCATCCCCAAGTCCAATTCCAAGCCCAACTACGCAAGTGTATCGTGCACGTAGTATGAGTCCAGTGTTACGACCTGGAACTTTAAACTTCAAGAGGAAATGTAAGTGTTATGAATCTTTTTGTTTGGTTTTCATCCTGTTCTTTTTTAATGTTGTTATTGGTCAGTGGGTGTTTACGGCCTTGGTTTGGAGAGCTCCTCAACAGCAAATTTAGGATCCTAGATCACTTTTGAGCAATCCAGTCCAGCACAGCTTTCGTTGTAATTATGTTTTGGATGAATTAAATGAAATGAAATGTGTGCTTGTATAGTGTATTTTTTGGTATGTTTGAGTTTATCAGTAATCAATATACTCTGTGTGTACATATATTGTATAGTGATACTGTAGAATTACTGAAAGCAATTGGTAGCTTATTTTAAACTAATACTGTATTGTAATAATAATAATAATAATAATAATGATAATATGTCGGTCGTATTAATAATATTAATCATGCATAAAGCCTCTAAGCGCTTCACATTACTACCCTGGTCATTGGCTCAAACACGTATGGAACACATACTCAGCTCCCTGGAGAGAATTCCATAATATTGCAACTAGTAATCAGCGCAGTTGTGTTTGTACATACCAGGTACCCACTTGTACTCCTGGGTGGTGAGAGGCAAACATACAGTAGGTAAAGTATCTTGCCTAAGGACACAAGCAATGCGACCAGCGTCGGTCTCAAACTCCTGATTCCGCAATCAGAAGTCCAATGCCTGACACGCTACGCCACACGCCCCCACATAACACAAGAATATCCAAAGCCCTTTCAATTTTTTCTAAATTTTATATAAGATTATGTTTTATTTTTGTTACAGTGGACAGTGATGGTGAAGCCAGCCCACCGAAGAAACTCTTTATGTGCTCTCCCAACTCCCATTCACATTTGAGGTGAGAAGCTACTATTGATGGTTTAATTTCAAAGTTTCAAAATTAAAGTCAGGCAAAATCTGGCTTTAGAAAAATTAATAGGAATTATAAAACAGTATTCAGTTTTGTAAGGATTTGATATAAGCATATTAAATAATAATAACTTGATAAAGCGCACATATCCACTGCAGTAGTGCTCAAGGCACTACAGAAGGAAAAAAACCAACAATTTCCATAAACATTAAAGCTACCAGAAATGAAACACCCCACACATCTCTCCACCGTTTACAGGCAATTTGGGGCACAGTGGCAGGCCTATTCATACTCACAAGTGCTCAAGTAATGGGGATATCTTTTTGGCGAGCCACATTTTAATTTCAGATTGAGAGTCAGAGAAGGGATAAGGAAGATAACACTGGATATCATCAACGTAAATATAGAAATGAATATGATAATAATGAATAATCTTGAAGATGGGAGAAATATAGAATATGAAGAGAAGGGGATAGAGCCTGAGGAACACCACATTGCAACAGCTTTGAAGAAGGGGCAGAACCGAATACATTAACATGCATTTACCAATACAAGTTGCAATTACAAGCAGTTAAAAAATGGAATTTTTAAATTTTTCAGCCTACAAGTTGCAGGCAGCCATGCTCGACTACCCAGCGGCTTACCATCATCAACAAGAGCCATGGACACTAGCCCTTCCGACCACCTTCCTATTGTCACCACTTCCAGCATACCCACCCAACCATCGTCGTCCTGCTTTGCATTTAGTGCTATTTCAGATGCTGGTGTATGAAGCTTGGTGTGCACAGGTAGCGAGATATCCCAGAATTGTGAGGACGCACTGTACTCACAAACATAGAGGAACACAATTTGCCATCAAGGTATTTGAGGGAGTTGTGCATTTTCTCTTTGTATATTCATAGCTTGTATATTTTTATCCTGACATCTAGGTGAATTCTAAACAAAACACAAAAAACACTGCCCTCTATAGTTCGATCATTTACCTAATAATACATAAAACCAGCTCGCCATTTTTCTTTTAAGTATCAGAAAATAGAGAGGAAAAACAGATTTTACAAATTTACATTATATATCGCCAGTCAATTGTTAAAAGAAAATCATAAAAAAAACCTGGAACTATGCTATCCAAAATACAAATTCCATACCTACTGTTACTAATAACCGAAAAAAAGCTGTGTATGCTTCAAGTTTCTGTTAAGTGTATTGTGGTTATTATGAGGTGATGACAGTGCCCAATTAATATCACTACCTATTCATAGTGTTATCACTACATTTGCTATTTAATAATGGCATGACTTTCAATTGCGTAATGATTTCAGTGAAAGGTAAATATTATATTGTATAGATATAAATATTTTTAATATACACAACCCAAATTAAATTACCAGAATCGGTAACTTATAAGGAACACAAATTAAAAACAATTATGATGTTGCTGATTTGTTGGGGTTGTGCGAGTGATGAGACAATGAGGATGATGATGGACAAGATAGTGAATGGTAGGTATTTGTAGGTAATTGATAAAAAGATTGATAATAAAGTTTACCTTAATAAAAAGATTTAACTTCAACACTTATTATAATTAATAATGGATTTCTTATTTTTTAAGGAAGTGTTAAAACATACAGTATAAGAAATTCCACATTCTTAATTCTTTGTTCTTAATGACTTATCCAATTATCCTAATTATTATTAGTAATACTATTTTTAAAAGTAAATAAAGCAATTGTAATGAATCTGGAATTAAATTTTCATTGGGAGAGTGAGATGGGGTTAAATAGCTGTAATTTAAAGATTTTGATTTTTAGGACCTTTGCTTTAAATACAATGGTCAGTGTTTATCCAGACATAACAGATATTGACATATGACTTGTGACAACGCTGGCTGATGCAAATGTCTTATTTGTAGCACCTATATTTTGTAAATTGATCACTCATAGTGTGAAATAGAAATATATAAAAATAAGTAACAAAAAAACAAAACAAATTAGGGCATGTGCAAAGATTTTGTATATATTGTATATTTTGTATTTTTCAAGTGATACAGATAAAGAATTTTGTGTTGGAGTTTTTGTAATTTACTTTTCTTAATACAAGGGACTTACAATTAAGATAGCAAATAGTGACATCACCATTAGCTTTTAATACTAAGCTAATGAATACTTGTGAGTTACAATGTATGTTGGAGCATCTGTTGGACTTTTTAAGTATTTGACTTTTCCCAACTGGATAACATTATTTTTCTAGTACCATATGGATTATGGAATATATTAGTCTTCTGTATAGTGGGAAAAATAAAGCATTTAAAAAAAACCCAATATTCTATGGCTCATTCTGATGCCAGTCAATGGCTCATTCTGATGCCAGAATGTATGAATATAGCTATATACGGATGTATCCAGGGTAATGACTTTCAGCTTCTTATTATGCCTAGTTACGACATTTTATAAATTCCTACAAATTATCGCATTGATTTGAAGTGCACAAAATTTGAAAGGGCTATAACTTTCGAAGTCTTTAGCAATTTCAAGTATAACTTTTAAGTATAATTTTTTTCTCTTAATTATTTATTATAAGCTTTGGTCAACAACGAAAACTACATGAAATGTTGATTAGATATGAGGTATCTATTCAGAAGTAACTATTTTTAGCACTACAATGATCATCAGCCTTACTTCACCCTTTATGTAGAAGCCTACTCAGAAAAATATAATTAGACTGCCTTCTAAGGTATATATTTTAGGTCAAAGGGTAAAACTTATGAATATTCATTATTTTTCGTGATAGTAGACATGCTAGCAGTTAGTAGAGCAGTGCACCCTCTATTGACACTTGTGTTATATGCTGACACATGAAAGCATGAAATCATGTTTTAATTAATTACTATTGGATTATGGGATGTACTAATTCAAGTATATGATTTGTGATGTTGCAATGATTTTGCAAAATGACATACAGTGCTTAAATGAAGTTTGAGAATTATGACGTCAACTACATAAAAACCTTAGAAAAATTTGAAACAAAAAAAAAAGTTTAGCTAAGGGACACTCCTAAAAATGTTTATTTGGGAGTCAGTCAGTACTGGTGTTTTAACATCATAATAACCTTGTTTGCACAAGACAACGTCATTATCGCAGGATAAGCATCGTGAAAAATGATTGTCACGGAAACTTGCACACTTTGTATTGGTCAACATCAGATGCTTTGACCAAGAAAATAGCTGCCCAAAGCTTCATATTTGGACACCCAAGTACATCGGTGTGAGCAGTAACCACCAATATTCTTCAATTATATCATTAATGTATAAATCAAATGTTTATTACGGAAAGAAATGAATATTTTGTGCTAATTCCGTATTTTTGTGAAAGCTCTTTTTGATTGGTTGATCCATGCACTGTAGGGTGTGATATTTATTATGTGACTCCTCTGAGAGCATTTGATAGAGTGCCTTATTATAATGCCACATTTATTGAATTGAATACAGTTTGATAAAAGTCTGATAAAACCATTGATGAATTATTATGCAGATTGTTTTCAAAACATAATGGTATATAGTGCATTTGTTTGCTTTTTTATTGGAAATATTGTTTTTTGGGGAACGGGCTATAAATACAAAGTGCTGAAATGATGCAAATACCGAGACATGGCTATTAAAAAATATATATATATATTCTTGGTCTTTTTATATGTATCTGTAGTTGAGACCCAATTTGCCTTTATCCTGGGTTTTTGATGTAAAATATTTTTAAAATAATGTTTGCTCTATTAACTCATATATATTTTAAGGCCTCAATAATGTATTTTACATGCCAACGGTACCATAATCTTTCAAGAAAAATATATGAGAAAGGCATTTGAGGCATTCATTACTTTATTCATGTTTTTTTTAAATTTTTGTTTGGGTCAGTGAACATGCCTAAGAGGACTAAAGCCATTTTCCCACCAGGCAGATTTATTCATGTGAAGCAAAAGGTTTAGAACGTATGCATGTGCAGTTTAATTTCTTGCGCAAGTCCTTCTACAGATTGTTGTGGTTGACTTTGACGAATTCTGGAGAGAAGAGTTTCTACTTCTTGTGATGCCATAATGCACCGCCAATCAAAGCTTCACAAAAGAGTTATCGCCTTAATTACATGAGCACAGAATTGAATTGTTGCTTGTACACATAACCATGGCAACGTGGCAGTAGTGATTATGATATTAAATAAATGCGTATCGCGAAGTTTTTTGCTTATGTGGAAATTAATTACCCACTCGCATAATTTTTTTTTCGTAGCAAAACTTTTTGTGTTGCGAGAACAAATTTGCCTCAATAGTGGAAACTGTTTTTATTGCATGGTACACATTGTAATCTCCATTCTATTTAATTATATTTCTTTATTCTTTATACTGGTGAACCTGTTCAATAAAGAATCTACTGTTCTCCAACAGGGATGATGTTCGCTTGTACATAATTGAAATCAATATATACTAAATTTTTAATTAGGTAATTAATAATTTGGTAATTTGGCACATTAATTTTTCATTATATTGGAAGACTAACAGCATTCTATGTATATATACAGAATTACAACACCCTCCTATAAATGTATGTCAATATTAACAAGGAGAAGCGTCCATGTAAACAATAGAAATAAGTTGCCGTCATATGTATACAATACAAAGTCGAGCTTCTCTTAATGCATTTATACAAACATTACATAGAATGATGACTATTCCATGTATGTAAATAATACATACAGTAGACGAACACCATTTTGCTAATTATGTAAACAATAAATATAATTATGATTCCGTGTACAGTATGTAAACAATACATACAAATCAGGGGTTTCATTAGTAGCCAGCAGCCAGCGACTTCAACCGGTTACTACACTTTTTTTGCTGGCTACTTCTTATCCATTTCTTAATTATTATATTATTTGATTTACTTTAGTTACAGAGTTTATATTGTAAAAGTTGTGATTATGTTGGTGGTGCTAAAAGAATCCCAGGAGAGCCAATCTCAGCCCTTCAAATGTATTAATATGCTTTGGCTTTGTGGGCTTTTCCCCTGCACCCCTATCGGGCCGTTGCCCCTCGACCCCCAGAGTCTCTCCTGTAACGCTTGCTCATTCAAATGAGCGTCGTTCTATGTGTACAGTCAATACAGGTATAGAGTTAAAAATTGCTAAAAATTACAAAAGAAAAAGATGAAAAAAATTAAGATACATGGTATTACCACGCTAAGAAACGCAACATGGAAAAATTATAAACAATTGGTTGTAGAGCAAAAATCTGTTGGCCATTTATATGTTTGTATTAAAAGAAATCTTGCTTTCTTTCCTACTTAAAGTAGTCAAACAAGGGCAGGGTATGTAGAATGTGTTAGTTGCTCATTGCGACAGTGATATTCAGTATTTTTAATGGTGTTTATTAGAGTTTAAACAGTAGCTTGACTTCAGGTCTCTATAGCACCTAGAAAGACTACCATCTCTGATCATTAGGAGTTAAAGCATTTTCAGTGTCTGTAGGTTGTTGTCTCCATAAGAGCTGAAAGTATACTGTAATGATTGTCATTGTTTCAAACTGTTTTTACATTTACATATTATTTATGTGTACATATACATTGTGTTATGAAGCGATATGAAGATAATAATGTGTAATACTATGTCCCCAGTGTTTGTTTCGTTTTGGATGACATCATTTCAGCTGTGAGCGGGTGTTGCCTAATTATATATTGAAAGAAAATGCCTATGCTACTAAAGTACAGTGCAAAATAAATGACCTCATATAAATGTGATTTAATGTGATAGTTTACAGACGATTATAGTGAAAACCCATACAAAATTTCAGATCATTATAAGGATATTTTACAAATTATGAATACAGTAGTATTTTTCCAGTTAAGTCCCACAAACGGTAAATCCTTGCATCCAGAGTTAACGATTGAGTATACATATTATAAAGGCATCATGACCAATCAAACGATTGAGCTTAAGATGTTGCCATTTTCAAATGCAAGTAAGTGGGCTCACCATGTAACGATTTGACTAATAATCATATCAGCATCGGTTTTGTATATCAGAACGTGATACTTGTTGAGATGAACAATTACTGTGGTAATTGTTTAAATGAATGATAGGCCTAAGTCTGATTGATTGGATTTTATTTTTCAGTGTGCTTCCCATATGCTACCGCGACTCTATAATATGTTAGCCATGGCTTCTCTATGCAAACGCCATAATAAATTGACGATTTTAGACAAAACATCATTGATTGTTGTTTTAGTAGGTATTTCAATGTGGTGGTTTATTTTATTTCAAATATCGTACTAAATATACGAGGTTCATTCATAATGTAGAATATTGCATATGAATATAATAATGATGATGAAGGTGGTGATGATGATGATCAGATGACGATTCTTGCACATTACTATTCTGACCACGACAATAATTTTGACAATGACTACCACGATGATGATGGATGATTGTGGGTGCAATTAATATTAGTATATTTTTTGTAGGTTTGGTTTTACTTTAAATCTGAACCAGTCCATCAAGGCTATTCACACTGGCACTATTTAAATTGCAACAGTTGAAAGAGCTACCGTATCACTTCACAAAGTACATAACAACTACTATAGACATGGAAATGGTTTAAAGTGTGAATGTGTGAACAATGTTTGACAGGAACAAATGAAACTAAAAATAGAATTGAAAGGAATGAACATTTTACAAAACTTTCTAGGAATAAACGAACATCAGAAATTGTGCTGGAGGACGGTTGGTAGACTGAATAACCCTGCTCCCCAAGCGACAATTTGGAGTAGGCCTGATATTAATTGTATTTCGGGTAAACTTTATTGACAGTTTAAAAAAGCTCAGTTCCAAAGTCCTTGGGGTATATATATATATTCGTTTTCAGTATATTTGTGGTTGGTGACTACACTTAATCTTCAATACACTGGCATATATTCTGGTCCCCAATCATTCGGCGGGAAAGTTATAACCTAATCTGGAGTCATGCCAATAACCTATGCACATCATTACTTTTAAAACTAAGTAAACAGAAATATTTTAATTTGCTTTTACAGTACGAAAATATATTATACTAATTTTTAAAGCTTTTAAATTTTACTTATAGTAGGCCTATTTTATTTCAAAAAAATTTAAAAAAATGTATGTTTCAATTAGTCATTAAAATACAAACAAACACTGCATTCATTACTGGTACTTTACATTGCAAATAATGTTTAATGCAATATTTGAAAAGTGTCATAGACAAGGATACTCTTAAATATTAGTATGCATACTTATTTCTAATAAGAAATTGTATAATGTATTTTATGACGTGAATCTCATAACAAAAATTAATTATTTACATTTGTCCATTGTATACAATTCCTCGAAGATATATTCATTAAATATTTGCAGACCGCGTATATCTAGGCAGGATACATGAAACAGCAACTTCAAGAGAATACCACTAAACTCAGAAGATATTTGATGAGACGAAACATTCGACCTATTTAACATAGTTCCTTATACATATTTTTGACTATTGCCATCGTTTGTTCACTGATTGTAAACTGCTGGCTGTAAATATGATTTTGTTAAAGGTAATATTTTGTTTTTATGCAACAGTTCAAGGTCTCAATATTCTTTAAACTTAAACTATCATTAAACGCCTCGAAATGTAATTACAATATTTTCAATCAGAATAATTATGACAACTTAGGACCATTTATTTATTTAAGTTAGCTAAGAAAATGTTTGGTATCAGTAGCTTTCACTTCGCATTTTCGGACTTTCAGTTGAATGACATTGACAAGTAGAATGTCTACGTTACTATGCGGAACTCCTTATCAAAACCCACATACTGGGGGGGGGGTTCGGCTTGGGACTATGCGGAACTCCTTATCAAAAACCCACATACTTCTTCTCTCCCCTAAATGGGGACTTTATTCAGTGTGATAGGCCTCAGGCTCTCTTACAGTATAAATACATATACATTTTTAGTGCTTTAAATAAGGCGAGACTTTTTTATACCTTGTTTAGCGAACCCCCGATTCCGAAATTGTGGATTTCAAAATAAAAATAAAATTTTATTGTAAGTGTGTTTGTGTACGAGCCGCCATGAAAAATTGAAAAAAAAAATAAATAAAAATTATATTTATTTTTATTCTGTCCTCCGCTACATGGAATCCCTTTTCCCGAAAATTTAAATCTTAAGTAAAATTTTCACGGAACTCCATCTCCCGCGAACCCCCCGAACCCCCTAAATACGGGCCTGAATACTACAATTGATCATTTATTTATTGATAATAACATTATTATAATAATAAAGTTTTGTGTGACATCTTTCAACATAAAACCAAGAATTTGTTGCTGTTATTTTGGTCTAATTTAATCTGTTTTCATAGCCGTGGAAGGCATACTGAAAGTGGTCCGGCCATTCGAGGGTTGGGGTGGGGCTGAAGAGGTTTGAAGACTTACTTCCTCGGATAATTTTGTTTCTGTTGTAGATTCTTGAAAATGCGCTCTCCTATCTTTCCAACAATCAAATATATTTTCTTAGATCCATCTTATTAAATTAATTTTATTCTTTAGGCTTTTTAAAATTTACATATATTTTAGTGCAATTTTATACAAGTGTAAATTATGAAATTCAATATATTATACCGTATAATATTGTATACGTATAATAATATTATACGCTATGATTAGGCCAAAAAAAAAAACCAATGTTGTGTTGCCCTCTTCGAATGACAAAAAACCGATAAATCGGGGGAGGGGGCCTAATAGGTAGTGCAGTGGCGAATCCAGGATTTAAAAATACAGCGGGCCCAGGGATGGATTTTGACAGACCGGAAATCTAAACCACCTCAGCCCCACCGTGGTTAATGCTGAGGTAAGAAAATGTATGATTATGACACCTGATGGCCATAAATGGCAATCTCAGACTTGCAGGATGCTTGAATTGCAGGGGCGGATCTAGGAATATTCTGACGGGGGAGGGGGCCCAATAGGTAGTGCAGTGGCGAATCCAGGATTTCAAAATACAGCGGGCCCAGGGATGGATTATTTGACAGACCGGAAATCTAAACCACCTCAGCCCCATCGTTGTTGGGGCTGAGGTAAGAACATTTATGATTATGACACCTCTATTTCCGGAAATGGCAATCTCAGACTTAATTTGATTACACATTTTCCTTTTTTCTCCATTAAAAAAAAAAAATTAAGGGGTGGGAGGGCGGCCTGACTCGGACATCCTTAAATCCGTCACAGTCTACACGCACCTGAGGTGAGCAAATTTTAAGAATCGAAATCTCTGACGCTCGGAAATGGCGCTCTCAGTTAAATTGATTTTTCAAAGCATAAGTGTTTCTGATCCTCGACAGAATTTTTGACTTCCTCCAGGCGGGAGATATGCTACCCTTCCCTTAGACGCCGAGGGCCCCTTAAGGTTAACACAAAGGTCTCATCAAGGACTTACAGTGATTCTATAGTGGGAGTTGCAAAGGAAATTATGGTTATGACACCTGTAGATGCACGAAAATGGCACTCATTGAGACTTAAAATGTTTATATTTTATCCATTTAACAAAAATTGACAAATGTAGAGGTCCTGCCCGGT